ACGCTTGACAAAACGGAAATCACAGTGGAGAAAACCTTGGAAAAGCATCAACAGGAGAGAGAGAAAAAAAAGTCTCGTACTGGGAAAAACAAAAAGGAGTGCCGCGGAAGATGGCATTAGACCGGATTTCCATGGAACTTGTCTCAATTCCCTCTTTTTTTTCTTTCTTTCTTGGCGCTCTCACCGATTTTTCATCTCTTCTTCTCTCCCGCAACCGCCAGGTAGAAAACTCTCCTCGACCCTGAGATCTCTCTTTAGCGAGCGCGTGTGCAGACACGCACATATACACACTCACTCACACCAACCCAAGGGACTACGCATGTTTTTTTTTCGGCTTTTTTGTAGAAAAATAGAGGCATAAGCTTATATTTTTGTGAAAAATGTTGGAACACACCAGGTTACGCCCGAAGCTAACAACATCCGGGTTTCCACGTTTTTTTCTTCTCCCGCTCCTCTCTTAATGACTTTCTAAATGAATACACACTACACTCTCTCAGCGAAATGTCATATTCCTATAAGATAACAAACCCACCTTTCCTGAACAGAAGATTATTTGAGCTGTGCTCGACAAACTAAAATGATAGTACGAAGAAAATTGAAGCTACTATAATATATATATATATATATATACTTAATTGCGATAAATAGCCGAGCGGTTTGTTTCTATGGTCTGCTGTTGTACAGAATAAGTATACGTTTATACACATATCCTGACATTTAGTTTTTCACCGAATTTCGAGCTTGAAACTAGTGAAAAATATCTTTTGATATTCAAATGATTTAATTTGCACGAGTAATTTTACAACATCTATTATTAGAAGATATCCGATTGTCTATTGATGTGGTTAATCACAACGGATTATCCATAGATCCCTTCAAACGGAAGAATGATTTCCAACGTTGTGGATCAATCAAGTGAGCAAAACAATGCGACTTGCATTAACAAAAAATCGATCGCCAAAGAAAAAAAAAAAAGAGCTTCCCAGTGATCCACAAGCCATATTTTTATACGTAGAAGGAAGAGAAAGTGGCGCTTTGGAAAAGCCGCCTAAAAGGGAAAGAAACAGATCATCACCCCCGCGTAAAAGCGAGATCAAGATCGGATATATTCCTTGGGCTGGGAACACGTCAAAAAATTGGTCGGCTCATCTCTCTGGCCACTATAAGTGTACGCGGCGGAAAGCATCGTGAGAGAGGCGTACAGAGGGCAGTCTCGCAGTGGCAGAGAGACGCCGGTGGACCAAGTCATCGCACAAAGGGGTCCCGCGCGCGCGAAACGCGCCTCCGATGAATGGGGCCCGCGTAGTCGCAATCGAGGGGCTGCGGGAAAATTGGAGTGTTTGGGTTCTCAGTGCGTTCGCATTGGGACCGGCAAAGTGCTTCTCTTTCTTCAAGCCTTTCTTCGGCACGCCACAGCTCCGAGACCAACTGGCATGCGCGACCTATCGATTATAGCGCACGCTTGTGCAATAAATTTTCGCTCGATATCGATCTTTAATATGCTTATAGACAGCCGTAGGCTGCGTAATTACTTTTGCGCGTATACACACCGACAGGTTTCGCAACGCGACGCATAATGCCACCGCATTGTTGTCTCGGAGTGCCTCCAGAAGTATAAGAAACGGTCGGGTTTGCTTTCCGGCGCGTAGCATCGAAAAGGGCAAGGAAAGCCGTTCGATTTTTACGAGGCAGCCGGTGCGCCTAATGAACGCCCGAAAAACCGTGCAATCTAACAATAAACAAACGGCATTCCGAGGCTCATTGCGTAAGCTCTCATTATGTAGACGCGAACGGAGTAATAAGGCTTACGTGCCGTATAGCGCGGCGAGTCGCGCACGTGTGTGCCCTTTCCCCGATACGGTCGAGCGTCTGTGCGCGCGCGCGCGCGCGCGTTGCAGCGTGCTCGTGTGCCAAATCTGGCGCTTATCGGCGCTTATGTGTATACACCCACTTTCCTTTCAGTCTCGTGCATGTGCACCAAGTTTACAGGCGAGCGTGCGTGCGTGCCGGCGGGTGGGTGGCTGGGCGGTACACATTTAGGTGATCCCTCTCGGCTCGCGAGTTCTATCGATCGCGCGAGGGTTCATCTGCCTTTGCCTTCGCCACTTTCTCTTGTTCTGTTATGCTACGCGTGCGTGCCTGCACACGTACTCGAAGACAATGAGCGCATCGATCGACCGCCGTCGCCGCCGTCGCCGCCGTCTGTATTGCGAAATTGGCGCGCGAGCGCGGAGCCGATATGGGGAGGAAAAAAAGAGAGTCGGGTTTACGGCTACGTACTTTGCATGTCTCCCGATGCCGTGATTTACCGAGCGCACCGCGCGCGATGCAGCGCTATTTATTGAAATGCCGCTCGCCTTGCACAAATACAACGGCGCGGCTTGCGAGCTAGCCTACTCGGCCAATGTTTATAATTTACCATCGCTCGCTGCGACTCGATTGCGCTCCGGAGAGAGAGCCTCTTTTTCCTTGCTCCTCCGTGCCCGCTGAATTATCCAGTATTCGAATCCACGATCGCGCGATGGCGCGCCGGCGTTACAAATTAAACGGAAATATGATTATAAGCTCATAATAAAGCAATCGATAAAAAACTACCATATTTCATTCACTGCGTTTGAAACGAAGTAAAAAACAACTGTAATTGATTAGAAAGGTCTTTATATACGATTATCCTCATAAAAAGAAAATAACGTCCTCCGAGAGCGATAAAGCGACAAGTTTTACGTTTCCCATTCATGAATGGAAACAGTTAGTGGATATCGGCAGCCACATCAAACAAAACGAACGCGCTCGCATCACTGGTAACTCGAGACGCTCAAGAATTATGAATGAAAAGGCCGAGCGAGCTTCGGTCCTAATCAAAGCAGAAAAAAGAAACGAGGTCTCTCTCGTGCGCGTTTTAATGAATAGAGATTCCCGCGCGAAACAAATAAACGCGCGAGGTGAAGAAAAAAAAAGCAAGCAACGTTGAGGAGTGAGCGCGCAACGAGGGCTGCAAGTAATAAAAAAGCCAAGAGGAAATGCGGCCTCCGATTAAAGGGCTAAAGCAACAGGTAACACGAGTGGGCGTCGAATATACGCGGACGTGTGCGCGCGCGCGCGCGCGTGTGTGTGTGTGTGTGTGTGTGAAGTAGAAAGAAGGGGGGAGCGAGCGAGAGAGAGAGAGAGAGCAACTCTCAGATGCGGCTTGGAGTTTCCCACGACAGGTGACACGTGGGAATCCCGCAGGTGAATCGTCACTCTGTGTACCGCGCGCACGCGCATCACCTGTAGCACGCTCACGCATCACGGGGGTCGAGTTTTTTTTTCACACCGTCAAGCCGCCACTTGATAGCCCACTTGCGGCTACAAGCTATATTGTATTGGCGGCTGAGATCTTGATTTTTCGTAGACGCCGTACAGATTACTTTTTTTAACTTTACAAGTTTTACGCGACTCGTCGCCTCTTCTAGTCATTTCATTATTTTCATATCGCTACGCAATGGTTATAACTAATGCGCAGAGGAAGATTTCCAGAAATATTTACCAATCTTAAGACAATAATGGTCTTCCTAGCCGAACATAAATGACGAGTTTCACAACGAACGATCGACTTATAATAGTCGACGGCCTTTCTGAATATTTTTCTAATTTTTCGGGTGCTGAATCGACTATCAAAGGTCACCGATATATCTCAATCGACAGCATACACATATTTTTTTGTCGTCAGACTGAGAGCCATAAAGCAAAGTCCCGTTACATAGAAGCGTCGTATATCGCAATCGTCAATCAGAGAAACAAATATATACACCGCTCTCGTGAGCGAGTGAGAGGAAGATAAAAAAACCGACCGGAGTTTCCAAGCAACGGAAAAATATCAGTCGAAAAGCAGCAGCTTCGAAGGTGGTCCGTCAAGGTAACCAAGGCTACTCTACACACAGCCTCTCTCTTTCTCTCTCCTCTTTCCCCTCTCGGCGGAGCTGGCTTGAGAAGAAGCAGCAACAGCGAAGGCAAGTAGGGAAGACTGAACCGCCGGAACGATGAAGTAAGCAGCGAAAGACAAGATCCGCACGTACGGTTCTCGCACTCACCGAAAAACTTCACTCGCGCTTGTGCTTGTAGTACGTGCACTGACGTAGAAATCGCGCGGCAGACACTTGCCGCCCAAGGTTGACGCACTAGGGTCATTGTTCCACAAACAAAGCTATTTTTTTTCCTTTCTTCAATATTGCCGTGCGTTTTTCGACGCTCTTTTTCGCGCGTAGTAACGCACAAAATGCGTCTTTTCTTTGCCGTTGCACGCGATAACGGTCACCGGGACGATCTCCAATCAAAATATTAGGTGACCAAAAGACCAAAAAATCGAGCCCGACAAGACACATTAAAACATGAGAAAATACCGTGACCTCGCTCGAGTGCACGAATGTATACATATTTTATTATGCCATCGCGAGAGGAAAATTAATTTAACGAGAGAGAGAGAGAGAGAGAGAGAGAGAGAGAGAGAGAGAGAGAGAGTGCTATTTTTAACTCGCCAAGTATACTTTTCTTTATAAGAAAAAGCTCGGTGCGGTATCAATTCACGCATCATTACCCGTTACAGATGTTCTTCCTACAAGTAAACACATTGATAAAAACGCCGAGAGACAGAGCAAGAAAAAAAGGCCAAGTCGAGCCCGCTCATTGAAACAATTAATATTTCGATGCTGCTTACGATCACTTTTGGTTCGGGGCAAAGCGCGCACGATGACACGAATTTGTTTCTGCGATCGTAACTCACGTCGAAGCGAAACAATGACTTCTGCAGAGAGAGAGAGAGAGAGAGGGGGAGCGAGATTGGTTTGTTTACGCGATAACGGGAAAGAGCGGCAAGATATACCTGCACGCGGCGGAGCCAATTGTCGCGGAGACTGTAGCATTGATGAATCGTCACGAGCAATCTATGTGGAAATCCCGCGGCGAGTGGTCGGAGTAGCGGCGCTCGGAGAAGAGCGCGCAAGAGCGACGCAGGGGTTACTCACTTGAGAAAGTAAATCTGTCCCTCGGCGGTACGCGCCTGCTCCCAGCCGTGGGGCAGTGGCCCGAGGTCGTCGACGGTGCTGATGACGTCGAAGCTGCGCTGCTTCCCGTGGTTGGGCCCGTGCCTGGCCGGGTGTGGCTGTGGCGCGTGCTGGCTCTGGTGCTGCTGCGCGGTATAGTTGTTGGGCTCGACGGCGGCCGGACAACTGTGGGCGCGACTATGGGCTACGGTCAGGCCCGACGCGACTTGTTGCACGGCCGTGACACCGGCGTTGCTGCCGGTGCTCGAGGCGCTAGGGCTGGTGGTGCCACCGTTGTTGCTGCCAGCGCCAGCCACGGCGCCGTTCGGCTGGCCGAACGCCGAATCGGCCGAGTTTTCGCGCGAGTGCGAGATCGAGGGCGACTTGCTGCCGGTGCTGGGCGGGTTGAAGAAAGAATTGGGCAGGTTACGCATGCGCAGCGGCACCTGCAGCGGCTGGCTCGAGTCCGGCTTGAGCACCGAGTCGAACAACTTTTGCAGATCCATCTCAGAGTCGTGACCGATGCGCACCACCAGATTGCTCTTGGCGCCGGCGCCGTTCGCGTTGCTAGCGTTCTCCTGGTTGAGCGCCATTTTGACGACTTGAGCGAGTCGGTCGCGAGCGCGAGACACGCACAGCCAGAGGCAGAGATATAGAGAGAGAGAGAGAGAGAAAGAGAGAGAGAGAGAGAGAGAGAGAGAGAGAGAGAGAAGAAAACACCAGACGGGATTATCTCTGGCAGCGGTGGCGACGGCAGCTACGTATACACCTGACGAGCAGCGAACAATCGAGAGAACAGCAGCACCTTGCGCCCGCCTGAGCCTCCTTCATTCATCCGAGCTAAGGCGGCACATCCGTCCACTCTCTTCTGTTTCTCTCCTCTCTCTCGCTCTCCTCCTTCCGTGAACTCTATCGGGCACCACTCTCTGCTGCTGTTGCTGCTGCACACAAACACCCGACAATGTACATAACTTTACATATTTATGGGCGTTCGCACTTATTGTTCAAATGCTCGTGTATTGCACGCACACGCTCTAAAAACAATTCTTTTTCTCTATTTCTCTTTTCGATGCGACGACTATAGGATAGGAACGAAGAGATGAAAAATGTACAAGGCACTTCGGAGAAGTCTGGCTCTCGAGTGTAAAGAAGTCGGAGCGCGAGTCTACTCGTTGTGCATGTGCCAGAGTATGAGTGTGGGGTTAAGGAGAAGGCGTGGAGAGAGTGGGAGCGAGCGGCGGAGAGGTTTATAAGGCGAACAGAGAGAGAGAGAGAGAGAGAGTCGACGACTTGGTAGGTGCATGCATATAAACGTGTGTGCGTGCTTACATATGAGAGAGAGAGAGAGAGAGGAGAGAAAGAGAGAAGAGAGCGAATAATAGAAGAAATATACGTACATGTGCTTTCAAGCTGCTGCTGCTAATCAGCTCGTTATTCGATTTGGCTATGTTTAGGTGCAGCAGCGACTGCACACTAAGCTCGCGGAGCACCACGGACAGCACGGCTGCTGATGTCGCGAACACGAGGCGTGCACTGGCCTGTTGCGCTCTTTCGCGGTGGCGAGCCGAGCAGGCGCGACTGCCTAGCTCCCCCACTCTTTAACCACTGTCGCGACCTAACACGATGACTCGCGGGGGGAGAGACAGTGAAGAGAGAGAAAAACGAGCTGGCGCGACTTCGTGTGGATATAGGTATAGCTCTATATATCCTCCGTAATACAAGTCAAAGGGAGTAGCTTTTCAGAATAAGCTTTTTTGCGAGGAGATTGGTACGTGCATTACTTTCTTACACGGGGCTATAGTTGTTCCCATAGTTGACGTCTAGTTCGACTTCTTAAATAAGTAACTTGGTATTCAAATGGGGATGCTAGAGTGGAGGCGATCAACAGGTTGCTGTGTTACGCGCACCTGAGTTTGTTGAACTATGGATTTTTATCGATTCGCTAAGTGAAAATTAAAACTATTTATTCGCGAAAAAAGTAAATTTTTTTTGGAAGTCACAAATGCAACATTTGAAGAAATTAATGAATAATAGTAAAGGGGAAGAGAGAGAGAGAGAGAGAGGCAGGGTGCTGGAACAAAGAGGAGAGATGATAGGCGGCAATAAAGGAGAAGGAAAGATACGAAGCCCAGAGGGAGAATAAAAAAGAAGCTGCGCGAGAGAAAGAAAGAGAGAAGAGAGAAAAGGGGAGTAAGAGAAGACTAGACAGGTAAAGAGAGGGATAAAGCAGCAGCGGCGTCGAAAGAGGGAGAGAATATAGTCAAGTGTGCTCCGTGTGTATGCCTCAACCGATGGAAGAAGAGAAGAGGGGCAAATTGACCCAGCGCCGGCTCTCCGTGAGAGCGCTCGGTTCTCACACACACAAACGCGTATGCTCTCTTGACTGCTGCTGCTGCCCTCCTGCAACTCTCCCGTTGTCAAGTTTTCCGTGCAGTCTACGGTGCAGTATGCGTCGCACACACATACGGAGGTATGCTGCCACTGCTCTGACTCCCAAAATGGATTGCACCTGTGCATGCAGCGCAAGCAAGGCAAGTGCAGCGGCGGGGCCATTTTTAAAGTGACACGCTACAGCGAAAAAATTGTCTATTTAAATTCCAAAAGGCTTTTTTATTGCAGCTGACGCGAATTTAATTATTTTTTGCTGATTATTGCTCGAATTGACGCTGATGTACGAAAATTATTTACTAATTTTTAATGTTGTAATTGTTTAATACTAGAATAAGAAAATTGATGCAATTTTATATTTTTTATGAAAAACGTAGATGTTGTTAAAATATGTCACATAATTGACAGGAAAAAAATAAATGATTATGCAAGGTCAAAATATACAAAAATGCAAGACTACAGTTTACAATATATCTTGTAATAAAAAAAATCTCAATGGAAATAAGTCAAACAATAAGTATGCTAAAAGTCAGAATTATATGTTTAAGCTAAAAGCGGAATGAAGCACTTGAATATGTACAACGGAAACAATCGGCGTTACAGGTGAATCTTTATTACTCATTTGCATTTCGGAGAATCTAAATTTAAAGAGCCTACAAGCACCAAAAAGGAAATCATGCGCAGGTGTGGTGAATTTAGGAACGCACAGGAGAGAGAGAGAGAGAGAGAGAGAGAGAGAGAATGCCAAAGCGCCACCTATATGATGACCGACGGTCGATTGGTAGTTTTCAATGTTTCTCTTATGTCGGGCCAATTTCTCAGTTTCGGCCTCCGCAGTCTCGTACACATTGTAACACACGTTGAATTCAAAGCGAAAAATGTAATTGACCAACGTCAGTCAAACATGTCGAATTGAACAATCGGGCCGTCGCAACAAAAAAAAAAAAAAAAGACGAACCTGCAACTTGCACGGATCTCCGTATGTGCATTTGAGGACAAGATTAAACCGACTCACGACGTGTTGACGTAAAAGGCAAAGATGTCTTCTAAGAGGTATTTAATTTTGTCCTTTTGCTTGCTCCTTTTTACTCTTGCGAGTTGTGGCGAAGAAGGCATGTGCCATAAATAAATCTAGATATTGAATTTCATAACCACACCAATTCATGCGATTACCATACTGAATTGATTTTGCTACACTACTGCTTGTCCTTACTCCTGACAGAATTGCATCAAAATTTTAACCTACTGCAAATTCTTTGTTAACCTACACTTTATCTTTCGATCATCACGGATAACTATTAACTTCCAATATTTCTTTTACTGATTTTTGATTGTCTGTAGTATTTTAATGGAGAAGTGTGTGCAATTTAGTATATTTATACTTCTGCATAGTTTAAAATTTTTTTCTCATTAATAATATATTTTTTTAGTCTGTTTCAATAATTTTTACATTCAGGTTCATTATTACAAAAGCTATATAATCAATATCCAATATTGGAAAATCACAGCTCAGTATATTCAAATTTTAATGTCATAGTTTATTGTAAATACAAGGAAAATGCACTAATAATAAAAGTTCAGAAAACTTTGTTATTGATTTAGAAGAATTTTTGAAAAATAATATATTATATTAGTCGTAAACAACATAGAGATATGATAAATATATGTTTTGTTTTCAGTGAACTAAAAAAGCTTTCGGAAGAGAGCTTGACTAGGCAACCTGAAGAAGTATTTGATATAATTTGTAAATTAGGAGAAGGGTAAATATTGAAAGATATATATCTTTATTAATTTACATGAAATCTATTGTTTTAACAATGATTGTGAAACTCACACGCAGATCATATGGGTCTGTATATAAGGCATTACATAAAGAAAGTGGACAGGTGCTTGCAATCAAACAAGTACCTGTTGACACTGACCTGCAAGAAATTATCAAAGAAATTTCTATTATGCAACAATGTGATTCTCCATATGTAGTCAAATATTATGGGAGCTACTTTAAAAATACAGATTTATGGGTAGGTTCATCCAACGACAGTTTAGTTGTATTTTATTTATTCAACTGTTTGATTTATTAATTCATCTAATGATACCATAATCAGATTGTGATGGAGTACTGTGGTGCTGGGTCTGTGAGTGATATTATGAGGTTACGGAAGAAAACTTTACATGAAGATGAAATTGCAACAATTTTAAGTGATACATTAAAAGGCTTGGAATATTTACATCTGCGAAGGAAGATACACCGAGACATTAAAGCAGGAAACATATTATTAAATAATGAAGGTCATGCTAAATTGGCTGATTTTGGAGTTGCAGGTCAATTAACGGTAAGATATCACTGGACATTCAACAGAATATCGCGAACAAATATTTTTAAAATTTCAATATTTATTTATTTTACAGGACACGATGGCAAAAAGAAACACAGTGATTGGTACTCCATTTTGGATGGCTCCAGAAGTTATTCAAGAAATTGGATATGATTGTGTTGCAGACATTTGGTCATTAGGTATAACAGCTCTTGAAATGGCAGAAGGAAAACCACCTTATGGAGATATTCATCCCATGAGAGCCATTTTCATGATTCCAACAAAACCTCCACCTAGCTTCAGAGAACCTGACCAATGGAGTCCAGAATTCATTGATTTTGTAAGCGTGTGCCTTGTAAAAAATCCTGAAGAAAGAGCTACAGCTAGTGAACTATTAAATCATGAATTCATTGGTAACTATTTGTTCCTTTATTAGTATTATCCTTTTATCAATTATTTGGAAATCTTTATTATTACTGTTGTTTTAGGCAATGCAAAACAGCCGGGTATACTCGGACAAATGATTAGTGACGCACATGAGATTCGTGAGAAACAAAGTACTAATCGTACGCATGTAATAAATAACGTAGCGATTAAAAGTCAAAATAATGCAGATGAGTCGGTGAGGAAAACATTTTATTTTTAAATCTAATTTTATCAAAAATTCAATGAAAAATTAAAATGTTTTGATTTTTTATGATTTAGGATGAAGATGATTGTACTGGAACTATGAAACCTTTACCAGAAGATCAAGGAACTTTAGTTCCAAGTCATGATCTACCAGATACAGGCACACTGACTTCAGCTATGCTAGATTTAGGAACTATGGTTATTAATAGTGATACCGATAATGAAGCTACAATGAAAAGTGTGTTATCTAGAATTCTTTCTTAAAATGATTTCATCGGGACTTCAATTTTATTCCATTATAGATTGTTTATTTTGTAATTCTAAAATTATATTTTAAATTTCAGGGCACAATACTGGGTCGGTTGAGTCAGGGAAAAAATATCGGCCACTATTTTTAGATCATTTTGATAAGAAAGAAACGTCGGAAGTTGAAAAAGTATATTTAATATAAATGATGACTAAAACAGATTTTTGGCTGCTTAATTGTAACGTTCTATTGATTTTAGGGAAATGGTCAAATTCACTTGGTACAAACTAATCCTGAATTGGAAACTAAAACAGAAGTACAAAATCAGTTAGACGATCAGAGGTTTCAGAGTCATTTACAATCACAACTTAATCAAATCTCACATCCGATGCCTGAAACGCCTCTTAATAATATATCTAAATTGCAAAATGTTTTTAACGAACGTGAATTTGATTTCGTGAGTATATTTTAATTTCATTAAAAAATTAGAATAAAATATAAACAGCAATATAATAAAATATAAATATTTTAAATACTATTTACTTTTGATGGTAGTTAAAGTTCCTTTCATTTGAAGAATTACAACAAAGAATGGAGAATTTGGACGATGAATTAGAAAAAGAAATTAACGAATTAAAAAAGAGATACCAAACTAAGCGGCAACCAATTCTTGACGCTATGGACACAAAACGAAAACGCCAACAGAATTTCTAACGCATAGATACTTTTTAATTCAAATTGCGTGTGATAGATGCCAGATTGTACAGATGTATAAATGATTAGAGATACTCTAGAATACAATCCTGATTTCCTTAGGAGGATAGATATTGTTCGATCAATTCTCCTTGTGAAATTATTTTTCTGAGAGTATCACAAATACTAGCGATAGCCTCACGCCAGCAATGTAAATTGTTTTACATGATTCAGATAAGGAGAACTACGATAATACTTAATTTTTTGATAACTGAATGCAGTTATTGTTAAATATACTATTCTTATAGAAATATAATATTTTATAGACTATGATACCGTGTAGCGAAATAAAAGTGAAAATAACGCAGTGATATTCGTCGATGCGTATGTATATATTAAAATTAGATTACTACTTTTGCACTGGATACATTTTTACAATATTTATAGCGTAATAGGGACAAGATGTAGGCGAAAAACAGTGTAAGAAAGCATCTTTTTATGATTTAGCTAAATTTTATAAATCTAATTCTATGCAGTTACTGTTTTTAAATCATTAAGTCTTATGGGTTGATTTTTCGATGCAACATTTTTGTACTTTAATAGATCCTATATCAATTTTTAAATTCTCCAAATACTATCACAGTACTTTAAATTTCATTTTTTCATATCCAATATTCGATTTTGTTATAACGTGAATTGTTATTAAAATAATTTTTATTTTTCTTTATTAAGGAAAATATTTTGAACGTGTTTCAAACATATTTTGCATTGAAATTAAATGATTGCATATAGTCAATACGAATATGAACTCTCAATGTCGAAGCAAAAATTATTTGTTTTGTACACATGTATCATTTAAAATTTTTGTACGTTGAATTGTTATGCATATTGAAATATTCTGAAATTTCCATTCATAAAGCCCAAGTAATCATTTTCACAACAGTATTAACAAAGTCGCCGTTTACCAAACTCTAATTTTGAAAACAGTGTTAAAATTGCATTTTACTGCCATATAGTGTTTATAAATACCAACTCGCGTTGAACTGATATTACATTCTGACAAATTGTGAATAAATTCAGCGTGAACTCCTTTCGATAGCTTATTTTGATTTATATATATCAAGGATTAATAATCAATCAATCTTTTGTGTAAGAAAGATAAAAAGCGCAGTGAATTTTGCAAAAATTGACATGTAGATTCTTTTACATTAGTCTTCCCTGTTACAATTATTTAAAAAATTGTCTTATTGTTCAATAATTAAGACATCGAATGGATAAAATTGAATCATGTAGTCACGTATTAAAGAAAACAACGATGAATTTTGATCATTGTATTGTAATGAAATACGAAATTGTTAAGTCAAAATATTTCCAGGGTATTGTTAAAATATTGGTTGTATATGTAGATTGATTGTGAATTTTTTAAGCGGAAAGCAATGGTGAACATATGATTATTTTATTGTTTGATAAAATGTTATGTATAATTGTGGTGGTATTTATTTTCCTCTTTGATTTTATTAAAGGGATAAATAATGTTATTGGCTCGTTTTAACCAAAATTCTTCGTCGATCTTTGCACTATAGATGAACGTAAAAGTCACATAGCAATGTATTTATACAAGAATTTGATAATAGTAGAACTAACTCTATAAAGTTTGGTCGGAAAGAAATCATAATAAAATAGTTACGTATTTTTGATAAAGGTTCAATAACCCATACACCTTTTTGACTTATAAGGTTCCGTTATAAATATTATCAATCAATTATTAATCCTGAAGATCTTTTTTAAAGAAAAACTAGTGTACCATCAGTGCGGCATACTTTGTATCACTGTTTTGCTTTATAAACAAAAATTAAGCATTATATAATTGTAAGATGTTGTAAATCTTTTGGTTGATAAAACCAAAAATCGATTAAATAGAATACATTTTATGCATGTGTAATTATTTTCTTATAAAACCTTTTAATGGTCATTGTTGAAAGAAATAGGGGAAAGATCGTGACAAAGGTATTCTGCTAAAATGTACAAAAAACTCATAACTTTATTAATGAATACGTATAAATTTATTGACCTTCTGAATAATATAGACGCAGCAGTTCAAAAATATTACATATTATTTATATACTGTGTTATATTTATGTACATGAATTTATTGTAAAGCAAATGTTAACTAATATAAGTTTGATCGAGATTCATAAAATTAATCTTAATTATGGCTATAATTCTTTATAAATGAATAACAAATTCTATAATCATTGATAACACATCACATCATAGTTTACAGATTGTATAAAAACATTTATGATATGTCTCGAATTATGCTTTTACAATACATATTTTGTAAACATATCCTTTAATCTCTTTAGGTTGTTATTTTTACAAAATAAATGCATTGCTTATTTTAACATTGAATCTATAAAAACATAATTAGTTAAATTGATAATTTTTTATAAGTGAGGTAGTTTAAATGCACATTTTCAAGTCAACATTTTTCATATTTGAATTCTGTCTATAATCGAACTGCAATGAAGGTAATATAAAATGCATCAAATAAATTTTTTAATGCACACTTTTTACAAACAAAAATTATTAATGTCCGAAATTAGAATAATAGCTTATCCTTCCTATAAATATTTGGCCACTGAGTTTTTATCAATCAATTTAAGAATATAAAATTAACTTTGGAAGTGAATTATACTTACAAATTAAAAAATTATATTCTATATAAAAATATTTAAATTTACGATGTATATAAATATATAACTTGGAAATAACATATGACACATACATTACTTATTGTTACTAAGTTTGATGAGGTTAAAGAAATTTTTTTATTTAAAGTTGTTAAATAAGAATTTCCAAAGCATAATAAATTGTATAACTTTAATTTAAACTTATCAAAACACCTACGCCTCCATTAGCATTTAAAATATTCTTATAAAAAATATGTCTTCGTATAGTATGTTTTCAAACAATATTAGCATATCAACGTACACTATTATTTCTTTTTCTTATGAATCTATTAGAAGAATTTGATAACTTCTTATTAAAATATCTTAGTGATTTCCAGTGCTTTGACTGTCTTATCGCCAAAATATACTCCACATAAGTACTCTGTTAGTTGAAACAATTAAGTGAACTTTTTTACGTAATTATTTTTACGTACATATTCACGGAAATAACATTTTCACGGATCGCATATTACAGACGGTTTTCGTTTCACATCACGATATTTTATAACCCATAATACTAGTTTCACAAAAATCATTCTATAATCCATGAACCAAAAATTTAATCATACTGATGGATTAAACGAATCGTCATCTATGTTAGTTCATTATTTAGTAGAGTAATGTTTCATTCTTTTACGTTATTATTTTGAAATATTCAATAAATAACATAAATCAATATGGCAACGTTGTTAATTATAAATAGTAAATGACTTTAAAGGTCATCGTCTCCTATCATACAAAAAGCATTATTCTCTAATAAGTCACCATTCCTTCTTCCCTGTTGGTGTGCTATTGGAGACCTATTATTGCTCGATTTTCTTACTTTAGCAGATGAAAACCTTTCTGTAATTTTCCTTATAATTGGTTCAGCTCTTACTCGAGGTGTAACGTCATTTTCCTATAAAATAAATTAAATTATGTTATTAATTACTGCAAACAGCTTTTGTAATAAATTGTTTTACCTTGACACTTTTGTTTTCTGTAGAATGGGAACCTGTAATAATTCGACTATGGCCTTCTCTTGATATATAAGTCCATGATTTCCCTTTTAATTCTAGGTTTCTAATACCCCCAACACTTTTAAATAGAAGCTCATCAATCATTGATTGTAGACAAACTGACATTAATATAGCTTGTTCAGAAGATATTGTTATCCATTGCAGATGGTCTTTAGCCATTAAATATTCAAAAGATAACTCAAGATTACATTCAGTATTATCTTCATATTTATCATTTCCCTATAATAAATACAAATTTTAAAAGTAACATTAGTAAAATAAAAATTTTCTAGTAATTATTTTTTCAATTTTTCAAATCGTTACCTCTTGAAGAGTTGTTATTCGCCAACAACGCATTCTGGTAACTTTAAATCCTATTTCTTCTTGATTACTTTCATGTGATGTTATCCTTACATTCAATTCATTTTTTCCTATTGATACTAAGACTTTTGAACCAGGTTGAGGATAATCACACATACATGGTGCAAATTGCATGTATCCGTAATATCTTAGTGATCTAACTATTTTTAAAAACTGAAACAAAATATTTTTTACAACTATTTTCATTAAAATAAATGAATAATGCTCATTTCCACTGAATTTTCGAAATATTAATGACTAATTATGGACTTACCTCATCTTTTTGATTTTGCTCTTTTAGAATTTTCAAATTTTGATGAATTTCTTCTGATGTAAGAACCCATCCTCTTTCTACTTCAGCTACTGCTTGGTTGTACAATAAATTTGAAGCTATTGAATCTTGAAGTAAATCTAAATCAAATTCAATATTCCAGTACCACTTCCCTAAAATTATTCTTGTCTCAATTTTATGCATGTTCCTTTGTGTTATAATCGGAGACTCAAATTCTTCCAGCTTTCGTATGACTATAAAATATTAATTTCAATATAAAACTTAATAATGAAATTTTGTAAATAAGATTTTTTAAAGAAATTCTTTACCAACAAAATTCCCCTCATCTTGGTAAACAATGAATAAAGAAAAATATTGATGGAATTTATCATCTAATTTAATATGTTTGCATACTTTCTGTAATAGGCCATAATTATTAGATTAAATACAACAAAATAATCCAGGTATGATAATTAAAAGCAACTACACAATATATTTACCCTTAAAATTTTACCAGAGTTTTCAGCTTGAGTTACATTCAAGTTGACCTGTGACCCATTCATAAAGAATATGTCTAAATTTTCATCTTCAATCGGATACACTGCACCTTCCAACTGAGCATTTAATAGAAAACCATTGAGCAGTTCTGTACTATTGATAGTTGTATTTTGACCAATTGTTTGAATATATTTATCAAGTAATAATCTCCTATCTTCTTGCTGATTGGCTGTTAATGGAAAAAACTTTTTTGGAGGAAAAGGTGGCAGAGGTATTTCCATATCTTTTGATAATTGTTCATGTAGATTATGGAGCTGCTTATACCGGACTGTACAATGGAATAACCCATTAATGTGCACATTATAACCCTGCAAGTAATATCCCAATGAAGTAAATTTATTATAAAAGTATGTTCCACTATATGAAGAAATAGTGTTTGTCTATTTTTAATTTGAAAGTTTCATTGTAATATTGAACTTACTAAATAAGCATTTCCAGCTTCATCAATTAGCTCTTGAGTATCTGGTACTGAAAAATGCATTTTTATAATTCCTAATAATTTATTATTTAATTTTGCTGATAATTATTTTCTGGAAAAGATAAAACTACTTATTGTTATTTATTAACATACTTAAAAATAAATTAAATTTTTATATGTTTATAGATACCTTGTTTCATTAGTTATATCTCAGAATTCAGCTAATGTGTTTGTTAGACTTTTATTGTTATATTTACGTTGAGAGCTATTTTATAAATTTAGTATCTGACAGATATTGAAGAAACTTCATTTGTAAAACTATCATCACTGCCAGCACTTAATGAGTTAAATGAAAAATAGTAGCTTTATTCTAGTAATTTTTTTCAATAAATATTTATTTAGAGAAAAAATCGAACTGAATAGTTGAAGTTAATTAGGAGATCATATGGAAAAGAGTTAGGCAATACCACCTACACAGTTACAAAGCATTGAACTATTGCGATAGGACCTCCGGATATTTCCTTTTACTGAGTAGCGTGGTGCACACGTATATACGTATGGCCAACACGATGCGTGGGTGAAACTGGAAAAAAGAGAAAGGTTTTGAAACAGCTTATGAAAACATACGAATCAATGTCAGATAAAAAACACTTTCTCGCACATCTGAATGCTCATTTATCGGTTACAATTGTGTCACATACATGACATGAAAGAGTCTTGCAATTTTCATATTTTTTCTGTTTTTAACATATTATTACGCTTTTCTATTTACGTGTATAAGCCAGCCAAAAAAACATACTTGTCTAGCGATAGCTGTTTTTTTTTCGCACAATAACGTCGAGTACTCAGAGCGTAGAAGTTAATTTGGAACGGTTCGTTCGTTGATCCACTTTTCTATTTATTCAGGCACATTATATTTATAACAGTCGTTCTACTGAATAATTTTATTCGTTTAAAATGATCAAAATGTGTACACGCACATCGCGCGGTCGCGGTTTCACGTTTCAATATGTTTGTATTTGTTGTGCTTCTTTTTTTCTCTCTCTCCCATCCCTCTCCCGTCGACAATATCTCTATATGGTTGAAACTCGAAACCACGGGTGTAAGAAAATGCAGTATTGACAGTTTAATTAACGGCTGAAGTTTAACGTTTTCATAACAATTTGCAGCGATTTGAGCGACATCATGTGAACACATTTATTACTACGTACTGAAACTTCAAATTACAAGATACAATATATGTATTTCACATCTTATTGATTTTTATACAGAATAATAAATATTTATCAAAGTAAGTGTTATATAATTGCTTTCTGTTTGTATGTACATATAACCAAATATTTTGATCATAACCTAAAAATCATATGTGATGAGTACATGTTCCTACATAACCGGCACCCACCCACTATCTGGTACATTTTTTTACTGAATAAATTTCGGTGATATATAAACAAAATAATTAATTCAATACTAATCTAATGAATCTATTGAACCTATGAAAACTTGTTTTATTGCATAAAAATATTTAGTTTATTATGACTATATTATAAAAAGGGCCGAGTATTGGATACATATACCGATCATACATTCAATTTTTTCATAAAACCACAATTACCGCCTATGAAATTAACGTCAATAAAAGAACTTTTGTTATTTTATTCAGTTGTGTAACTACTATCGATTGTGCTATAGTATACATGTATTGAACAATTCGATATTATTTATTGTAGCATAAGCTATGTACATTATGTTCAGTTTAAATTCTACTAATGTGCTTTGTGTTTCTCGGTTTTCATCAGTGATTTCAATTTCTATACACAGAAAAATGTTTATTAAGATTTTAGGAAACAAAAATTTTCTGATGTGCTTCGACATTTTCAGACTGCAGTATTTAGCATTACACTGGGATCGATACTGTATAATAAAATAGTATTACTTTAAAATGACAAATGTAATTAATTTTGAAGTATCATTAGCTAATATTTTAAGATCATTAAAATAAACTCAAAGATCTTGGATATTGAAGGTGAAATTGTCCTTAATGCTAATCATAATTGTACTGGTCTAGCCAATCGATAAGTCGATAAAATTCAAATTTTTACATTGATATTTACAATCAACTTTGCAATTCGTGAGAAGTCAGATTAAATCAACCTTGCAATCGCAATTAGCAATAGTAACAAACATTATAATTTCTATTGTGTAGTTACACAGCAAGTGACGGTGGGAAATGTAAGAACATTTTTGCTTCATTATTTTACGTCGATAAGTATTGTTATTTTGCTGTGGTTTATTTTTATATGTATATTTTATTATTTCATTATTTTGTACGTAATCATTATTAACAAAATTATTATTTCAAAAAAATTGTTTCAATTGGTATTTAAATTTTGTATTGTAAGCATAAGAATAGATTTTTAAACTGCACTGACATAATGAAACGAAAATAAGGCAAATATACAGCGTCAGCTCTTAAACAATATGATACACGCTTGTCAAAGATTATTCTCGCATTTGAATGGTTTTTTTTTTTAAACACTTTTAGAAAGTTTGTTGTATGATGTGTGTATTGAATGTTATAATATGTGCTAAATAGATGAAGTATGAATTTAATATTTAATTATTTATAGGTAGTAAAGAAAGTGAAGCTTTTTCATAAATCATGAAAGCGCAACACTACTGCATCAACTCTACTGAAAGAATTTCATGGAACGCTGGTTTTTATATAGCATGACCATTAAATAAGAGCGCGCGAAATTAGAAATACTGAATTATTTTTGCGTTGAGCGGCGGCGTCAACTCAGAAGCGTCAAGCTGCAGTATACTCGTGTCACTCGCGTGATTTTGGAATTTAGAAGCGTCATTTTGTAGTGTAGAAGTGTTGCGGATTTATTATTAAATATTATTGTTGTTGTTTTTAATACTTAAAATGTTTCTTTACAAATAAAGGCAATGGCATTATAAATGCGGATTACTAGTTCAAGAGACAAAGAGAAAAAAAGAAAAAAAACTTAAAGTCTTAACTAGCACTTCTTGTTGCTTATTATAAGATAGAAATGTTCATAAACAGAGGTTACACGAAAAAACGTTATTAGGAGCATCCAATATATACGTTACGATATCGTCATGGGTTTTATTTAAAGTTTTATGAAGCATTTTTTTTATTGCATAGTCAATTTCCCTGAGCGTCCGCTTTGGCGCTGCAGTCAACTTTGCGATTACCAATAGCAAAGTGGTGTCGTTTTATATTCTCTAAAATAGATCTGATCCACTATCTAGGTCCAGGAAGATCCATTCAGTAGATCCACACATGTGTACATATATATAGATATAGATTGAAAACTACAAGAGCTGCAACAGAAAAATTTGTTAATTAAGAAAAACTATTGTACCATTGAGAAAAATGTTATTATAAAACTATGATATATTTTTCTAATTCAAAATAGTGTTTTGATATTTAATTTTATAGTCTCTCCAAGTGTTAGGAATTGGTAATGAAAAGTTAACCTCTAATTAAATTAAAGGTAAACAAAATAAAATTTCAAATTAATATTATTTATTTTCAAATTGCAATTGAAAACAAGACGAATATATTTTTTAAGAATATCAAATATGAGTGAAAAAGAAAATAACCCGTCAGAGAAAAAAGTATGGACAGAAGCTGAAAGACTAGAGTTGAGTGCAAAGCTTGATAGAGAACTTGAAGATTATATAGATAGTCTTGACAAAAAGGTTTATACAGATGGATGGTCAGAAGATCGATGGCAAGAAGAAATGGAAAAGCATCCTTTTTTCATGACAAAGATGCCTGAAAATCCAGCAGAAATGTCTCCACTTTTAGAAGGACTTCAATTATTAAAATATAGTGAAGAATATAACACACCAAATGAATTAGCTCAAAGTTATAAAGAAGATGGTAATTTTAATTATAAACATAAAAAGTATCGTTTAGCTATTCTCAATTTTTCAAAAGGGATCTCAAATAAATGTGAGGATAAAGATTTATTAGCTCAGTTGTATAACAACAGAGCACTTGCTCAATTCAAGTTGCAAAATTATCGATCGAGTTTAAATGACTGTAAGCAGGCTCTTAATTTAAAACCAAATTATTTAAAGGCTATGCATACAGCAGCTAAATGTTATTATTATATCAAAGATTATGATCAGTGTATAAGTTATTGTGATAAAATTTTAAATATTGAATCAAGTATCAAGGAATTAAATAAAGAAATTGTTACCTTGAGAACACAAGCTGTGAAAAGTAACAAATTAAAAATGAGAGATTCAAGATTGCAAGATATAAAGGAAAAAAATATTGACAAAACTAAAGAAAAAATAAAAAATATCATTAAAGCTCGAAATATAAAATTAGATTATTCAGATATATTTTACGATAACCAACATGTTCATTTGGACGATCGTGATATGTTAGTTTGGCCTGTAATTTTTGCGTATCCTGAAAACAATCAGACTGATTTCATACAAAACTTTCATGAAAGTACATTGATTTCAGAACAATTAGAAGAACTTTTTGTTGAACCACCAGCATGGGATAGTGACAGACGATATCAAATTAAAAAATTACATGTTTATTTTGAAGGTATCAATAAGAAACCGTGTAGAATAGACATTGATAAACCTTTATGTGAAATTTTGCAGGATGAAAAATTTATAGTTAAAAATGGTACACCATGGTTTTATGTTTTGGTAGCTGACAGTAGAGAAGAAACAGCATTTTTGAAAAGTTACTTTTAGTATTAATAATTAATTTTTTTATTAATACATAGAAAGTAAAAAATAACTTTTGTAATAAATTTCTCTGCTCAACTGAATTTTTATAAACAATTGATTCTTGTAAAGTTTTTGCGTAAAAATTACTTTAATGACAAATTAGAGTCAGTTCAATATATGTTTGTTGTTGTTTATATTATTTTTTAAATCTAAAATTTTAATGGTTCAAAATAAAAATTAAATTATAGTCATGTAAAACTTTTTATGCATACGTTTCAGATTCATACATTTTATTTTTGGGTGGATTGAGAAGTAATTTATAAAATACATAAATAAAATATTCTTTAAAATCAAATACATAGAAATAATATGTTTTATAACAATTATTATAATTTTATAATATAAAATCCAGGCAATATAAAATGTAGGCAATATAAATGGCAATCATTACCAAAGATCGATTCCATAAAACATGAAAGTAAATTTTAGTTTTAGATAATTGTTTGAATGGTCCACCTGTGAAAGATAATAAACAATATCAAGGTAGGAAATAAAATGGTTCTAATAACGACATTGACGAAAAATTGTACAAAGTTGACATTGAGAAATATTTGGGTAAGCTTCTGCTAAAAGATAAATTTATAGTTAGACATGCTTGCTACATATATGTAGCAAGTTTTCATGACGTTAATTATAGCTAATAGCAAAACAGAAATAGCCTTCCTATTAAATGACAATAGAGTAAGAAAAGCATGGTTTCATTGTAATTATAAATAACTATATTTTATCTACAAATTGTCTACAATTTGTTAATATCTTTACGTCAATTTATAATTTTTCACTAAAATTAAAGTATATTTTCGACAAAACAAAAGAACAGTGGGGAATTACTTTATATGTTTAATTTGTTTGAACCCGCGCTAAAATTCGTATTTCAACGGTGTATTCATTTGCAAATTATCGATTTGCCAATGCTTATGAAATCCCGATTTAAACCTTCGATTTGTGTTGCTACGAGTCTACAATTGTTGTGATTATTTCTTATAACAATCGCTCTTTGTGATGTGTTCACCTAACAATCTTATTCTTACAATACAAGATTCATCAATTAACGCGTTAATTAAAATTATTTTTCATAAACACAACCTCTAATAATAGATATAATAATAGAGCTCTAATAATAGTGCATAATAACATTTTTTTCACATAAAATAAAAATAATAGGATCATTTTTTAATATCACTCATTTTTAAATGAGCGTAGAAGGTCAACTATGAATAGAAGTGCGGGTACAGTTCACGTGACGGCATGATTTGCACACTCCCTTTTGTCAACCATTAATGGATTTTTTTTTATTGATTAAAGTAAGATTAATGTCGTGTATTATGTTGCTCTCATTTTTCTCAGTCATAATATGTTATGTCCTTTCAAAAATTCAATTAAAATGGATTGTTGAGGAAAGATCACTCGTAGTGGACAAAAATTAATCAATAGATTAGCTAGATCTATTGGATCAAATAACACAAGTATATTTAGGCAGGGCATACAAGTGTAAATAACAACTGCAAGTAGCGTAATATTTTTATCAAAAATCTGAAAATTGGTTCTTGATGTATAATTAATTAGAAATTAATCGTACAACAAAACAGATAAGCGTCCGAAACAACGGGATCAATACGATAAATTCATTCGTTAAACAGGATTAGGACTTGATTGAAGGATAAATGCTGGATACCGAGTACCATGAGTTATCTCAATAAGCAGCAGCAGTTATAATATAGTCTGTCATTTGATCAAAACGAGCAAGAGTGTTTTAATATAAAAAACAAAAGAAGGTATCTTCTGTTCGCACCCTCGTGCGAAAAGAACGCAGCTATAGTGCCATATCAATTTGTCGTAGATACATCTCCCCAAAGAGGCGCGGCGCGTGCGACGTTCACACGCAAGAGGCTCCTCTCAAGGGTGTGCTGTTCGAAACCGACGATAAGATAAATCGAGTGAAAAAGTGGACGACGTGCTCTCTGTTTAATCCCGTTTGCGATTCGCCTCGCTGCCACTGCCGTAAACGGATCAAGGGCGATATGGCGCGCGGAACGTGGCGCACAGATTTCCTCCTCGAGGGACTAACGCGTCGTTACATAGGGTCACATTGTCTCGGCGGCAATGATTTCTGTCGATGCCCCGTGGCAATCAACAGCTTTGCCGCTGATTTAAATTTTATTTTTCCTCGCTGCAGTCGCGAGTTCACTTTTTCAGATGAATGTTGGGTAAACGATGACGCGCTAATTTCACGTTACTGCTTCTCATGGATTTGTCTAATTGTATATCGCATATTTCGTAACTGGGAAAAGCTTTGGCAAAGTCTGTCTAAAAATGCAAACGACGAATCAGAACTCAAGCCATATCGCAATTTGGAACGGCCAATTAAGAATCCCGCTAAATCAAAAGCAATGGCTTTTTACGCACAAATTAAATCCCAGTTAATCTCCTCTTCCCCCGATAGATAATCTCCGCGCGTGCAACGAAAATCCGCCTCGTTCAACAGAATTTCACTTCCACGCAATTTTGCGAGCAGCGCAAAAGAGTAAAATCTAGGCGAAAGGAAAAATCCATTGTGGTGCGCGGCAGAGTCCAAGTGTAGAGCGGAGAGGGAGCGTTGCGGGAAGACGTGCGTGATGCTGCAACGAGCGAAAGGGCGCGCAGTGGTGGTGGCGGCGACGATGGTCGGTCAGCCAGCTGCCGCTGCTCTACTTTTCGCGAGATCGCCTCCGGGGCGTTTTCTTGCCTCGCGCTCTCTTTCTCCCACCCTCTCTATTAATCGTCGGCGCTGCCCGTTCAGTCGTCACTTTTGGACCTTTATCGCGACCACTCATTTTTGCAGCTCGTTGAGTTTGCGGCTCGATTTTTAAATTTATGGCGTTCCATCTCCGGCTTACTCGGGGCAAACGCTCGGAAATAGACGCAGCCAAGCTGGAAATCCCAAAAGCTTTTGTTAGCAGCCAAAGCCCACGCGACTTGCCCTGGAAAATCTGCAAGTTATATCCACGTTGCGGCATATCCATCAATTTGCAAAAGCGCGCGCGGTAGGCTGCTCGCCGTACTAACCACGACACGTCCATTGTGTCTCTAAAATACGCCGCTAGCCGCGGAAGGTCATCCCAAGCTTGAGGCTGTCCGTAATAAGCCAGTAACGCCATTCCTCGGAAGCGCGCGATGGATATACAGCAGGCGAGCAGTCGAGAAAAGGGTCACAGTGTCAGGGTCAGGCGTATGTAAACGCGTCGCGTCCCTGAGACTGCTCATCCGCGTGGGCGCGGTAGGACAAACAGCTGTGCGCCACGAATATTCGGCCCGCGACCACCTCGTCGTTGTCGCCCTGTTCGATGGGCGCACGGCCGTGACAGTAGCGAGTGCAGAGTCTTGGTCGCCGATCGCGGTAGGCCACTCCTCGCGGGCCGCGTCCGTGGATCAGCATCCACTACGCGGTCCTTTACGATTGTAGGTCAGATTATGTTGAAAGAAAGAGCGTGCGCGCTCTTCGGTCGATGCAGCTATACGCGCGCACCCCTCCTCTTGGCTCGCGGTGTGTGTCTCAGCCCTCTCTCTCTCTCTCTCTCTCTCTCTCTCTCTCTGCTTATGTACCGCCTGTCGTGAGGCAATTTTTGTTGTTGTTGCCCGCTGAGCTTAGCCTACTCCCGCGGCTACGTTAAATATACGCCGCTGAAAATCCGATCGATCGACTCCTATCGATCTTTGCTCCTCAGACCCTGTAATCGCCAATTGACGAATAAGGCTGTATCGTAGTGGTCGTTCGGATCGATTAGACAATGCCTGGACGAAGGAGAACTTTGACGGACAAGCCTCGCGCTGAAGGTTATCGGCAAGCTCGCTGCATCGCACCCGGCCCTCATTAAAAAGCTCGCGTGCGCGGGCCCGCACCGAAAATCCAGCCGGAGGCAATATAGGTGGATCCGACTCGGCTATCATAGAGAGCGAGAAACCTTCCTCGCTCGCTCGATGCAACTGCTAGCACTCGGTCGCGCACTGCTGCCGCCTGCTGGTGTTGGTGGTGGTGCGGTGGGGAGGTTCGAGCGCGCGCATTCGACCATTCGACTCGTCGCCGTCGTCGTCGCGTCAAGGTGCTCCGCCGAGCCAGTCAGGAACGGTTCGGGCTGCCGTCTGTACGACAGCCTCAGCTGACCGCGTAGCTTTCCCATTGGCTTGCAGCAGCCGTCGGAGGTGAGCTTCTTCTTGCTTATTACTCGTCTGCTCGCGCCGCGAGAGGCTTCGCCTAGGCTGCCACCAGTTAGACGCTCGCTCGCTCGCTCGCTCCCTCGCGCTGCGAACAATGGACGTTGCTGCGCGAGGAAAGCGGGCCTTGGCGCGCGCCTACCGTCCGCACCAATGTGACGATGTACCCCATTCGTCGACGACCATTCTTCGTCGCTTTCACCTCGACACCCGTAAGCTCGCGTCGAGCGCTCGCAGTCGTGCGTTTTATCGCGTGCAATTTCCGCGTTCGAGAACACTTCTGCGCTGCCATTGGTGCGTCCACGCGGTGAATTATTGCCGTTACACGGAGTGCAGCGCTATTTTTCTTTCCAACGCGAGCGTCGCTCGTCGTTCTTTTATGTATATACACGTGCATACACATAAATGTACACAGACGCGCGCGCATACATGTATATATATATATACATATATATAAATATATGAGAAGCTCGAGCCAAGCCAGCAGCAGCAGCAGCCGATCGATCGCCGCGCTAGCGCGCGCAACTTCGTCGTCGACTCTTTGTTTACCGCCAAAGTGCATCAGCTCCTGTTCATCGTCGTCGCGCAAGCACAGGGAGCACAATTTCTTTTGGAGTTTTCCTTGCAAGCGTCTGCGATTACGGCTGCCAATTCCCTTTCTATCGAAAGCGACGATTCGCGATGTTCTTTTAGATTCTTTCGCGGCAGCACGCAATCGTGCCTTATTTTATCTACCGAGGGAGGAACGGATAAAGCTTTTTCGAACGATAGTGAATTTTTATAAAGCGATGACACTGTGATTCTCACCCTGTGATTATAGTCGATCCGATCGTATCGCCCTACATAACAGGCTGATGTGCTTTCCACTTCGTGATTGTGGATAGTGAAATGTCGGATCGAGTGAAGCTTTAAAATCTCGTGATAACATAATCGAAAAACGATATTAATTACAAACTCCACTTACTTAAATACATGCACGTAACGAATGTTAAAA